AAAATGCAAAATAGCATAAAGCCTATAAGGAATTTTGAAGTTCCACCTATTTTACGCGGAGTGGTCAAATAGGCGATACTCGCGATATGAAAATGTGAAATACATTCCTCACTAGTGTTTTTCATATCGCTAGGGTGAAACTCCACTGAATATGTTTATTACGATTTACTCCATGTGATTTTCGCAAAAACTTACATCTGCGAGTAAAATCCATTTCATGTGCCTTTTTCCCGAGAAAAAAAATTCCCTGAGATATACAATCTTCATTGTAAAAAATTTTTGTGTAAAATGCTGATTGCTCGGAGTTTTTCGCGAAATACTGTGAGTGTTTCACGTGACATGGGGTGATCTGCCAGATGTCATTCGCCAAGTATTTTCAATTCACTTCATATCGCGTTTTTCACATGGAGTATTACACCACTTCACGTAGTAAAACGCACCAAGATTTTGAAATTCCCTCGTATTCGTCCTATTATCACAAACACGCAAATGCATATTCTCCCACGCATTGCTGGAGGAATATATATCTTCTATTTCCTCAGCTGAGCTCAAGAGTTTTCTCCAAGAAAGTTCATATATAAACTCCGCTAGAAATGTACAAAAACCCCAAATTTCCTCAAAGTTTTCATATTGGAGTTTCACCCTAGAGATATGAAAACCAGTAAAGTGAAAAACATATTTCACGACTACTGTATATCACCACGAATCTCGCGTTTTTCACCACTTTACGTGAAACTCCATAAACTTCGATCATATGCATATTCTCTCACTTTGAGCGTTTTTCGTATATCATAGAGCCAAATCTGCCAGGCATCTATCACATCAGCTTGCGTCGTGTGCTGGTCCAAAAAATCATTCCATAGATAAACTTCAGCACCTACAATTCAAAACCAGTGTGTGTGTAAATCTGAAGACCAACGCCTACGACAACAACACGGCTTAGACTCGCATCGATGCACATCAGCTCTCGAGACATCAGTTCGAGTAGCCTTTAAAATTTTCTACTCTCTATTGGTTTCTGTATTGCACTTCTACCCAAATTCATATATAAACTCTTCTGAGCTCAGCTGATGAGGAAAGCGATTACATATATTCCTACTCCAACACTGCTGAAAACACCCCAAAAAAAATTCTCAAAAATTAATTTTCTTCTTACCAGTTTTTTCTTTTATTTCAGCGATGGTATTGGCAATCCAGTAATCTACCAAATCAGTGCGATTATGGAATCTCCTGAAAAAGGAATTTCACATTTTGATATGAACCAGATTCGTTTTTCACCCATTTTTTCGCGTCCACTTCTCGAGAGCTGGCGTATCCCAGGCGTTCCATATCTCATCTCCACCGAGATGTACCACTTTTTTTCCTAAAAATATATAAATTTCGCGGAAAACTCGGAAATGTCACCAGGAAAAGTTGAAATTTCACCAGGAAAACTTGAAAATTTTACCAGGAAAAGTTAAAATTTCACGGAAAACTAGAAAATTTTACGAGAAAGAGCAGGCATTTCACGGAAAACCTGGAAATTTGACCAGGAAAATTTTTACGGAAAAAAATGAAATTTCAGGGAAAAATTAGAATTCAACGGAAAATTAATCCGTAATTGAAAATTGCACGAAAATTTTGAGATAACAGCAGCGAATACCAAGTCTAGTCGGGAAAATCTGCACATGGTGAATTACATTTGTTGATGACAGTGGAGTTTCACTCTAGTAATATGATTAATATATTTCATACTGCATATCACCGCGAATATCGCGTTTTTCATCGAGTTTCACGACGCCACTTCACGTAAAAAGGGTTGTGAAGCTCTATTATAGTTCCGAAAACCCCTCAGCCCAACGGTGCGTATATTCCCACAACCTAGATTCAACAAAAGAATCATTGTGACACAAAGCTTGTCCCCACACTATCCTCTCAAATGAATTTTTCCCACTCTCTAATCTCCAGAAATCTTCACTGTTGAATTAACAGTGCATATTTTCACACTGATATAGTCTAAATTTTCCAAAAATTTTGTTGTCTACCATTATTAATTTTTCCTTTTCCACTGTAGAATATGTCCACAACCTTAGACACAACATCAACAACCATATTCCTCGTTTCCTCTCTTATAGGGTCCATCCAGAATTTAGCATCTCCTGTCAACCATGGATACCTACAACACACGCAACGTTGATACTCAAAAAAATTATGTAAAATTTTATAAATTCATTAACATTTTTTGCATCAAAAATGCAATTATTAATTTGAAAAATTTTCGACGAATTTATTTTTTCCGAATGATCCTTCTAGTAAATTCACTCACTTCGACCAGTACTAGGGGAAATATACATGGTTAACTGCAACATGAAAATCGCGAGAAAATTTCGGAAAATTCTCATTTGCTTCCGTAGATATTCTTCAATCACTATCCCATGTAAATGTCATCAAATTAGTGACATTTCCCCCATCGTCATCAAATCCTAAGGAATGTTATTTCTCAAAGCCAGATGGGTCGCTGTGTAAACTTCCACCAGAATTAAGCAACCGCAGAAAACAAACATAAATTTCTCCAAAATTGGAGTTTCACGACCCGTTTTACGTGAAGTGGCGCAATACTTTGTGAAAAACGTGATATGCAGTAGTCGTGAAATATAATTTTCACATCACTAGGATGAAACTCCATTGAAATGAGAAAACGCCACAGACATGAAAAAAGTACTCACCCTCTCGTCCAACTAGTCGTATGAGCAGGAACGTCAATTTCTGGAATAACTTTTATGCCCAGCAAATTAGCGAGCTTAACTATCCTCTTCATATCATCAGCCGAGTATCTGCATACAGCCGAAAATAAAGCGATATGAAAAACACTAGTAATAAAATACAAATCTACCAAACGCTCGGATCTCGTGAACCGTGGGAAGAGAGTGAGAGAAGCCGAGAGGTGATAGGAGTGCACCAAGCACTAAACCTTAAACCTCTAAACCCGCAGCCCGAACACTGGAGTCGGGACTTATCGCGGGTCTGGCTTAGAATCCAATCCCTGAAGGCTGATATGAGCCGATAAGCGACCTTTCGCTGGTTGCACCTCGATAGACTTGGTGCATTCACAGCGGGATTCTTGAAGCCTGTATAGAGGTTTTGGGTTCATGCACTGGAAAAACTGTGCGCAGCGATCGAACAAGTGTGTAGAGGGACAGAGTCCCTGAGACAGCAGTACACAAAGACTTAGCGCGGTGGATCCGAGATGAGCTAGCTATAGCCTGGGAGTAGGATATACGATGTACGTCCTCGGACTTGTTCTGCCTGAAGCCTTTGAGCCAATTGACTTTCGGGCGAGATGGGCAAGGGAAAAACGGAATTGAGCTCTGGCAACTCAACTTGCCGGTGAATAGCTAACTCTAAGTCGATCACGGAATCGATGACGATCTGCGCAAAATCCTGTGCGAGGTTCGAATCCTCGCTCGCGAGTATCGCAAATTTCAACGTATTACGCCACCTCACGAAAAACGGGTGGTCGTGAGACTCCAGTTTATCAAGTTCACTATTTGAGAAAGGAATTTATATTTGCTTTCCTCATTACCTGAGCTCAAGAGTTTATATACGAATTCGGCTAAAAGTGTCATACAGCAACCAAAGAGAATTTCATCATAATTTTCATATCGTCATCACCAACACGTGTAGTTGACCATGTGTATATTTTCCAACTACAATAACAGTAACTTTAAAAACATTAAATTCCCCCAAAAATTCTCAAAAATTTACCAAAAAATCATCAAAAAATCATCAAAAATTCCACAAAAATTTCCCAAAAAGTTCTCAAAGATTCCATCCTATTCACCTGAGTGGCGTTGGATTCTTATATTGCAACTTTTCGTATCCTTCGAGATCCAGCGAAAAGCTCACATCATCCGAGATGTGCCAATGCAAAACGTTCATCTGAAAAGGAAAAAATATTTTCAACAAGCGCAAGAGTTTACATACGAATTCTGCTACAAGTGTACAGAAATAACCAATGAGAATTTACCAAAATTTTCTCATAATTTTTCCATTCACACCAACAAGTGTGGATACTCCGACATTATGTCAACGCAGGAAAATAATGACGGTGGCTCGATGCAGTAAAAACGCAGTTGAAGCTGATACCCCAATATAAATTACTATAACCATAATAATCTAACATCATAATAGACGCATTAACTCCAAAACTCACTTTCGTCCACAACATTAGTTGAAGATTCTTTATTATAGTTTCCACTGATAAATATCTTCTACCAGTGTCAATCAGCATGCCTCTATGTGGGAATGACGGGAAGTCATAAATGGTGAAACCAGAATCCAATAACTTCGGCATGTCCTCGGCGTTATTGTGAGCAAGTTGCACCTGAGATAAAAAAACAAGTGTGCGTTGGAGTAATAATATATGTTCGCTTTCCTCAGAAGAGTTTATAAATAAATTCGGGTAGAAGTGTACAGAGGCTAACAACAAAAATTCCCCAAATTTTTCTCAGAATTCTCATATTGGCCGATAATACAATTTTTCCCGCGAAGTGAAATGTGAAATATGTTTTTCACTAGTGTTTTTCATATCACTCCAACATGTCTTCGAGACGACTTTCATCCCTTACCATCGTTCCCATACCATACAATGCTCCACTTCTAGAACTTGCATGCACACTGCATTGCTGCGATGATGTGCATGTGATCCTATACCCCTCGTCCGGTAGACTATCATTATACTTGACTCCAACTCTCACTGAATGGGATGCTCCTGCGAAAGAAAATAACCAAATATTCAACATCAACTCTTGTGTTGGAGTTTACGTGGCGTCGTAAAACTCGGTGTAAAACGCGATATTTAAAACGGTGATATGCAGTAGTCGTGAAATATGTTCTTCATATCACTAGGGTGGAAATCCAGTAATTTCAATATTTCACTTTTATGACGAGAAGTTAAAACAGTGAGATAAAACGTCACAACTTCGAAGGAAAATACAACAACAACGCTCACCCTGAAAGGATCGACGATTGTTATAATTCAACATAGTCGTTGCGAAGTCCAAATCCTCTTGCATGATGGGACTCTTCTCGTCGTGATGGTCGTCTTCTTCTAACTCGAAGTGGAAGGAGTAGACAGTGGCAGGATGATGGTCTGGGGAAAAGAAGAAGACAATAACAATAACAAGAATGACAATACCCATATTATCAGTGGTAGTTCTCGGGTTGATAATAATAGCCTTCGGAAGAGGCCATATCATCAACTCGGGCTCCTTGGGGATACTCACTTCACCACTGACGATAATCGCCAACAACCTACACACTAAAATATATGGAAATTTTGTTGGCGGAATTCTGTATAACATTTCTACCCGAATTAGTTTATGAAACTCCTGAGCTCAACTAATGAGGAAAATACTTACATTGTAATCATAGTCTTCATCACCATCAGCGACGATTTCATTTACTAACCAACTGGGAGATGAAACAATGGCACGGAGCTATTTGCACGCATGCACATTCATACTCCTAAGCTCAGCTAATTATGAGAGCGAGCATGTATTCCTCCAAAAACCATATTCAACGTCGTTCAACGATTTATCAACGCGATACCATAGTTAAGGGGGGTAGTAGAAAGAGTGCAAGAAACCTAAAGATCTCGTTCCAGTGCAATAATACTTCACGTGACGTGCGG